GTTCAAAATCGAGACACGATTTTACTGAATTAGTTGGTGGGTAATGGTAAATACCCACTTTTCCCTCAGAGGCGTGTTGAAAATACTGTGAAAATACAGACAGTTCCAATCGCTTCTGTGATTTGATTCAATTTTGAAGATAAAGTTGTTGCATATCTGGTAACCCAATCCAACCCCTCCACTCTAAACTCAGGTCCAAATTACAATTCAATTGTTTTGACCTGAATCGTCATACATAAACCATTATGAGTGAAGTAGTAAGTAAGTAAGTAAACACTCTATTTTTTGGGGGTACATGTATACTGAGGGTCCGGTATAGAGGGGTTTCACTGTAGCACTTAATAGTGTACAACTAATAAACTTGTGGCCCTCTATGAACAAGATACTCACGATCCTAGAAATGTTTTTGTAATGTTTTCCTATCAATGGAGTGCTAAAAAGTGCGCATGGAGTGCGTATTCTACAAAGTAGCCCTGAGTTTTCATTTTCTTGTGGATTACTGCCTACCATAAAATTAATCCAACATAAGTTATGTATAGTTTCATGTTTGCTGTTTTGGGTATACTGATATTTACTGACATTTTAGATGAGAATTGCAGTTCACATTCTACAACATACTAGTAGCTGACTTTAAATCTTATAAAAATTTAATATTCGGGTGAAATTTGCTACCTCTTTATTCGTCGTCTCTTAATAATCACTATGGCAACAATGATCAGCATTAATCCAAACACTCCCGCTGCTACTCCAATAATCCACCCAGTGTTACCACCATCGTTTTCTTCGTCTGCATTTTCCTTGCGCTTATTAACAATTTTCGTGAATGCCTATAAGAAATTGAAAAAGAGCTTTCTTTGTAGGCCTATTTATAATTAACTAATAACAAGGATTTATTTTTACTTACCATAGTAGTTGACTGAAATGTAGTAATACTGTGTGTTTGGAATTCATTTGTACTGGTGCCCGTTTCTGAGGTTGGTGAGATCGTCCATGGTGACGTTGTTGGCTTAGGTAATGGTGGCAGAGAAAACTGAGGACCTGGATGATAATGTTGTTTTGGAAAAGAAAAACTTATATTAAAATCAAGATGCTTTATATTTAGAAGCATGAATGCACAATATGCGAATGGTTAAGAAGACCTACGGTTTGAATCGCATAAAGCAATCGCAACTGGAGATCTTTGTTTGCCTTACTTTACTCATACAAGGCGTGATACTTACATTTCAATGTTCCCTGCATCTTCAACAATAGACAGTCGGGTATAATTGTATTCGACTTATTGTAGCACCCTATTGTCATTCTCAGGATTCTTCCCTTCATGGCGTCATTATACTCCAAACGCGATGTTGTCCTCTTAAACTGAATTTTTTATTAGTTAGAATGACTAGTTAGTTATACACGTTTTTCGATTTAGGTTTTGTAAAGTGTCAAGTATTTTTGCAACAACCTCTGTTAAAAACTTACTGTAAAAAATTGCGTATTTTCACTTTCCACGATTAAGAACCTGCTGTTCACGAAATCGTTATCTAGTATGTTCCACGATCCATTGCACAGCAAATACGTTGATTTGAATGCAATAATATAGCATCTTTGAAGATCAGTCGGTATCACGAAAGAAACATCGGCTTCCATTCTGAAAGGTACTGTTATAAGTGCACTGTCTACTGTTCTGTTACGCAAGAGTGTTAGTGAACATCCTGAATTGTTGAATAAAAGAAAGAAATTACATAATGCATTTTACTGACAACTGAACATGTTGGTACATCCAGAGATACAGGATGTCCTTTGAAAATTATGGACT